CGACGCCGCTGCCGCCGTCGTCGTCCCTGCAGTCGTCGTCGCCGCCGCTGCCGCCGCCGCCGCCGCTCTTGCGCCTATTACCGCTGTTGAGGCCGCCGCCGCCGCCGCGGTCGCGAGCCAGAACACCGTCAGTTCTCGGCGCCCGACGCGCTTGCATCATCACGCTGCGACGGTGCGGGGGATGGGCGAAGGAAGGAAGGGTTGGTCGAGCCCGCGCTCTCGGCCGCGGGGGCCGCTGGGAAATATAGTTTTTTGGGGTTTTTTTGTTTTTTTTTTTTTTTTTTTCGCGCAAGAACACGGATTCTCGGAAAGGCAGGCTGTCGCGGAAGGACACCCGCGGAGCGCCGCAGAGGCACAAAGCCCGGGTCATTTGGCGGCAGTTGGCTGTTGGCTGCTTGTTTAGATTCAGAATAGCACTCGATATGAAAATAGTAATCTCCTCCCGTTCATCAATTATAAGCGGAATGGAAGTAAACAGTAAAATCGAAGAATAATACTGTATCAAAATAGGGTGGGGGAAAGCTGCGTTTAGATTAACAGTGACCGGGATCCCTAGGCCTAAATAACAAGCAAAAAGGGCATTCGGCTTCTGCTTAATGTGCTGTAATCCCAGCCCTTGGGAGGCAGAGGAGAATGGTTAGTTAGAGGTTAGCCTCGGCTTCATTGTGAGATTGTGTCCCAACAAACCAAAAAATAGATACAATTTTGTTACTGTTTCATTAAACATGTAAGGGCTTTGTTGTCAACACAGGCTGCTGGCATTCTGGCTTGCTTCACTACTTACATACTTGACCTTGGATAACTCCTCTATTAAATAGAAGCTTTAAAATCCACCTTATAAAGGTTGTGGGGAGCTAGTGCGGTCATCTGTGTAGAACACTCAGTAGATTTCCTGGTATACAAGAAACGCAGTAAATGATTGCAATTATAACCTATGCAATCAACACACATTAAGTACGGGTGACTAATACATTCCTAGGAAATACATATTTGTTTCAGCTAGTATTAGGAAGGTGAATAAACAGTGTACCTTCAAAGACTGAATCCAGTGTTAATCCAGCAGGCATTAGACAAAAGGTCTGTGTGATCATGTGATCCAGCCTATTCATTTAATGGACTATAAAGAGACCCAGAGAATTAAGGGGCACCATTAAGAATATCGAGTAGAGGACTCAAAACCAGGACCATAACCCAGTTTTCCATAAGAGCTGAAATAAGTAACTAAATGATAAGAATCAATTGTGAAGAATCACAGACTTAATATTACATTTGAGATCATTGTTCTAAGTTTATAACAACTATAAAATCAAGTAGATTATTTAAATCTGTCACTTACTAGCTGTGTGGCCTTGGGGAGGTTACTGATCCTCTTTCTAAGCTTCACTTTCCTCATCTGCAAATAGAATGAATATTTACCTCAATTGGGACATGGTTCTGCTTAGAATAGCTGTTCAGATAGAAAGCACTGAGTACCAACCAGAAGTCAGCTACCAAAAATGGCCTCCACACCCCTCAATTGTACAATTCAAATCACTATTAAAATCAAATTAGTAAAACAAAAGTTAACAGTACCTTCGCACTCATAATGTCTTTCGGCATATAAAAGACCTATGCTGTAACCAGTTGGTACAGGCATTGTCTGTCCTTAGGCACAGAGAGACAAGTACCAAAGATAATCAAAAGAATTCACTTCTGCCAGGCGGTGGTGGTTCACACCTTAATCCCAGCACTCGGGAGGCAGAGGCAGGCCAATTTTTGTGAGTTCAAGACTAGCCAGGTTTGTGCTCTCCCCAGGGCTACATATAAGAAAGAACTGTTGGCCACAGTTTCTTTTGCAACCCTTCAGAATCAAAGTTTCCAGCACAGGATGTCACCTGTTTCTTGAAAGGGACAATCTTAGCCAAGTTGTGAAAAGAAGTAACATCAGACAAATCCGTGCACTCAGGAGGAAGTACATGAGTAGGAAGAGTGTAGTCTGCACAGCAAGAACCTATCTCTCCCACTCTCAAAAATATCAGGAGAGAATAAAGAAATAAAGGAAAGGTTCTGTCAAAGAACTTGACCAAACTCAGACAAGATTTCAAAATAGAAGATTCGTAGAATTTGAGGAGACATGAAAAAGGCCACATCCCTCTTAGGCTTGATCTCAGTTATTTAATTAATTTCCCAAGTATTTATGTAGAGAAGAAAAAAATTAAGGGAACAGTACCACAATATTCTCACATTTGTGTGATTAGCTCATTGCAGGCTGAATCAGGAAAACAATGACTCCAAAGAAGTTCACATTATACCTGTACTGGTTTTTAAAGCCAGAACAAACAATATGTCCGGAGCTATCGCATGAAAAGCCAGTTACTGCCAGGGTCTGTCTCTACCCACAGATAGGAAGCTAACATTTTTTTCTATTTTCCCACTTAACTTGGTAACTGTTTGTCAATCACAAATCAGCAAATATGCTGCTGACCTTTTTCTGATTGATGAAGAATAGCAATTACAAGTGAAATACAGTTTTTTTGTTTGTTTGTTTGTTTTTTGGTTTTTCGAGACAGGGTTTCTCTGTGTAATTTTGCGCCTTTCCTGGAACTCACAGAGATCTGCCTGCCTCTGCCTCCTGAGTGCTGTGAAATACAGTTTTGTCTAAGCCCAACCTGGATTGAAAATTAGTCGTTTATTTTTCAAAGGTAAAAAACTCCAGCCAATAGAATATTCAGAGATGGCAAATACAAGAAATTATAAAGTTTTATGTATTTATTTTACTCTCTACACAATAAAATAAGGTCTGCACCCTGTCAAAAAAACAAAAAAATTCTGAACTACAATGTCTATTCATGCTAATTATGGCCATCAGATTAATGTTAGATTGATCACCATGATGTTATACACACGGCATCATGTGATAATTCCTACCCCGGATTTCATTAAATAGAAAGATAAAAAGAGTCCCAATCTGGTGGTGTACAGCTATAATTCCAGCACGTAGGAGGTACCAGCAGAAGAAATAAGAATTTATGACTTACGCAGTGAGGCCCTGTCTCAAAAAGTAAACAAGCAAAAAATCAAAATAAAGAGCAGAAGAGAAGAGAAAAATATGTGGCTGGTTTATCCTTCTGTATGCACAAAGGCTCAAAGTGGTACAATGGGACCCAGAATCTAGGAAGTTATTAGGTACTTTGGGGTGTGTGGAGGGGGTGAGGTGTGTTTCCTGTGTTGGATATTAGAGTAAGAAAGGCAATGGTGATGTGAAGGTAGTTAAAGATGCACATCATTATGCTCTCATTAACTGGGCTAGAGAGAACTCGGGGTTAAGAGCACTAGCCACTCTTCCAGAGGACCCAGGTTCAATTCCTAGCACCCACATGACAGCTCAGAACTGTCTGTGGCCCCATTTCCAAGGGATCTGACCCCTCACACAGATATATGTGGAGGCAAAACACCAATGCATGTAAAATAAAATAAACTGAAAGCATAGAAATAAAAAAGAATAAAGAGATTCTATAAAAAAAATACTCTCATTAACTTACTAAGTTCTCTGCCTATAGGGAATACAGGAATACTTAAGACTGAATGAATTAACTAGACTATAGTCAAGTTTTAATTAATTATACCTATCTCATGATTACAATGTCATGAAATTGTTCCTCTTCCCAACTCCATATATCAGTGTTTTCTAGGCTGCAGTATATCATGAATTGAATCAACATGCAATGCGATGCATATTTTTTTGGCAATGAATTAAAATAAAAATACCTTTTATATACTAAGAGGCTGGAACTTTTGCTGGACCTCACAGCCAGAGTTAATAATGCACCTTGGGGGTCACTTAAGACTTAAAACTGCTGCTCTACTGTGTACTCAAACTGTTTAGCCTGCCTCTGCAAGAACAATGTAACAACCAACCTAACTTGCCTTGGATTTCCTTCGTAATCAACTTTTACAACCTAAGCTAATGCATAGCTATAGTCTTAAATCACGCCCCTGACCCAGAACAATGCATATGTATCATTTGCTGAGGGCTGTAAATACACAGGCTGAAAGCTATCTTCTAAAACCAATGTCCATTTATGGGTATTGGCTGATAAGCAGAGATGTTTGTAATACTGTTTGTTATCTGGCTCAGGTGGGGTCAGGCAGAGCCAGTGGCTTAATCCCTTGTAAAAACTCTGTTAACGATTTCTGTTAAGTATACCATTCCTTCTCCACGCAATGCTTTCTGTGCAGTTCAATGAGTGCAGAGCAGAAGGCCTTTCTTAGGAGGGAAGACACAAGGAACAGGCAGTAGAGAATGCAAACCTGATCTTGATCTTGGTTAGATGACTCCATGGGGGAGTATTTTATTTCTTTATGTGGCACTGATGCATGATTGGTGAGTTGGAGTCTAACGCTAAGGTGTTTAATCTATGCATATTTTAAATTATAATGGAATTCAGTTTTAGTAGATGAAACAATGACTAAATTTACAATACCAGTTTCGTGCTAATATTTAGGGCAGGTACTGAATCAGCAGCTGAGATGAAGTCATTTTAAAACTATTTATTGAGGCTGGAATGACAGCGCAGTGGTTAAGAGCAATTCCTACTCTTGCAGAGGACCCAGGTTTGACTCCTAGCACCCACATGGCAGTTTACAGCTATTTCTAATTACAGTTCCAGGGCATCCAATACCCCCCTCTGACTTCTGTGGTCACTTTTTGATACATGTGATGTACATATGTACAGGCAGACAAAACACACATAAAATAAAATGAATTAATTGAATTTAAAAAAAAGAGTAGCTTAGAAAAGAAAACTATCTATTGAGAACCTATTAGTTTTTAGTCTTAGCATTTGGTATGCCCGTTTATAAAGCTGTAAAACAACCTCTATCCACAGAGTACATTGAAACCTACCACATGACAATTCTCTAAAAGTTTAATGTGACATGCTCTACCAATCACTAGCACTTAACGCTAATCACCTATAAACGCTACCCCATGTTATGGATTCCATCCCAACAGACGAGCAGTCTACTGGCTCAGTTCAATTTTACTGTTTATAAAATATTAATCACCAGCTATATTAGAACACTGGACTCATCGTCGTTAACATTGGGAGTATAAATCTGTATCATTTCCAGTTTCAGTCTGTCCACACTAAGGTGCCAAGCTTCTTTATTTTGCAGGAAGGGCACCTAGGTTAAACCTAGCCTGTTAGGCACGCACTGTACCAACAGGCTACACCCCAGGCCTCTGCAACCCTGTTTAAAATTTTAACTTGTATGTGTATCTAATGCAGGGAGCGGGGTAGAAGGTACAAGCACACCACAGCGCACATGTGGAGGTCAGAGAACAACTTTCTGAAGTCACCTCTCACCTTCCACCTTTCCATAGGTTCTGGGATGACACTTGAGTCATCAGGCTTGCTCAAGAAGTACCTTTAGCTCCCAGCCTAGTCACCGTGTGCTTTGTGGTTGTTCTGTCTTACCTGGTTACAAACAAATTTTATTATTTATTTGTGGGGAGAGGGGTTAGGGGGTGGGGCAGGGACTGTGACCAGAAGAGGGCATCAGATCTCCTGGAGTTACAGTTATAGGCAGTTGTGAGTTACCCAAAGTAGGTACTGGGAACTGAACTTGGGTCCTTTGCAAGAGCAGCAAGTGCTCTTAACCACAGAGCCAAGCAATCCCTTATTTTACTTTTTGAGACATTTGAATTCCCCACATGTGTCATGGCATGCATGTGCCCATGTACATACATACACTGTCACACACACATAAATAAATATAATTTCTACAACACATCTACAGTTTACAGTTCTTGGGCTCTTCAACAGGGAAAGCCTAAGAAATTGTGGAACGCAAGCAAAAAAAAAAAAAAGAAAGAAAGAAAAAGAAAAAAGAAAAAAAAATCTTACTAAAGGGCTCATATTCATCTCCCCTTATTTAGGCCAAGTATAAACATGTTTGTAACTGGACTTTCTTTAGACTGCCAGCTCCTGAATAATGACATGGAGACTTATAAAAGCTTGGCCTAAGCTTAGGCTTGTTCCTAACTAGCTCTTAAAACTTAAATTAACCCATTTATATTAATCTACGTTCTGCCATGTGGTTCATTACCTCTCCTCCATATTGTACATCCAACTTCCTCATGTCTCGCTGGTGAACACCCCCATACACACACCAGATTCTTTTCCAGAGTTCCTATTTCTACCCAGAAGTCCTACATATCCTCTCCCACCTGGATATTGGCCATTCAGTTCTTTATTAAGCCAATCAGAAGATGCCTTAGGCAGGCGAGGTAAAGTAGAAACATCTTCACACAGTGGATTGAAATATCCAACAACATTTCCCCCTTTTTGTTTAAATAAAAAAAATGAAAGGTTTTAACTCTAACATAGTAAAACTATATACAATAAGAACAGTGAGAATTACATTCACAATGTGCAGTCCATTTGTATTTGGCAACTTTGGAGAAAGTACTTTATTATCTATTCTATCTCAAGGAGTCCAAAGTTTTTTTTTTTTTTTTTTAAGATTTATTTATTTATTATGTATACAGAAGAGGGCACCAGATCTCATTACAGATGGTTGTGAGCTACCATGTGGTTGCTGGGACTTGAACTCAGGACCTCTGGAAGAGCAGTCGGTGCTCTTAACCACTGAGCCATCTCTCCAGCCCCCAGGAGTCCAAAGTTTTATACCTAAACTATTTTCTATCATAACTTGCATTACCAACCTAAAAATATCTTGTTAGACCTAAAACATTTTCTTAAACAACTTAAGCTTTTATGTCTCTCGACATTATAAACTTTACATCTCTTTTGTAGGTTTCTTTTTTGAATTTGATAACAAGAAAAACTGTAAAACTATAACTATTTTTCAACCCCATCAGAGACCTGAGAAGGATAAAATATTACCTGAGTAAACAGGAAGTACAGAGCAAGTAACTTCCACAGCTGTAGAAATGACAGAGACAGCTGGATGCCTGGATAGTCACCCAAGGTTACAGCATGTCTGACTACCTCCTTGTCTGGCTGTGCCAGATTCTTTTTCCAAGTTCCTATCTCTGACCAGAAGTCCCACCTATCCTCTCCTGCCTAGCTATTGGCCATTCAGCTCTTTATTCAACCAATCAGAAGGTGCCTTAGGCAGGTGAGGTAAAACAGAGACATCTTTATACAGTGTAATCAAATATCCTGCAACACGTTTGCTTAGAAGAACACTTAGGAAAATGCCAACATAATGAGATGCCAAACGTTTCCTTAGGACTTTTGGCTGCTCATTAACCTCCAATAACTCAGGAAGACTGGGTGAACTGGAGGCCAGTAGTACACATATGTTATTTTTCCTCTTTACTTCCTGTTTGCTAAGTTTCCCCATTGCACAGAGTATGCAGAAATTGAACATTTTTTTTTTCTTTCGAGACAGGGTTTCTGAACATTTATTAGTTATATTTTCATTGGCTTCTTTCTCCAAAAGAAAATATACAGTGGGCTGAGATGAAGTTTGGAATTAGGCCCTTGTCTTTTATCATGGGGGGGCACACTGATTGACTATAACAATTGTCCAATTAAGAGGATTTTAAGTCAACACCTATAATTCATGGATGTCCTTGGAGCTTCACCATGGCTCCCTTTCTCTGGGTCCATTTTAAGATCAGCAGGGAATCATGAGCTACCAAAACTATGGTTCTTCAAAACCAAAGATCAGACCACAGCAAGAACTTTCCAATGGTCTCCAAAGCAAAGTGAGGTGAAGCTGTATCATTTGACACTCAGTGGTTAGCAGGCAGGATCGGTATTCCCAGGCAGACTAAAGGCAACTACAACCCCTGAGAAAAATCTAGGTAAACACCCGCCCCAGATGGGGGGAGAGATTTCCACATACCAAAGCAAAGGTCCCACCACACATGCACAGGAAACGAAAAGGAAAAACACTCAAGCAGACGAGAGGCTCTGCCACACAAAAGACGCTTTCTAGACACAACCCATACTTTAAATGCTTTAAAACATAAACAGCTAGGTCTTGTTTTCACGTACTCGGCTATAACATGGTGCCTCCTCGGTGAATTAGCAGTGGCTTGTAAGGGTTCCCCAGGAGAAGCCCAGAGGCATCTGCTGAGAGCAATAGCTGACTTGAGCTTCATGCTTCCTAATACCTGAGTGTGATTGCTGTTCTCGCCCCCACCCCAGAGTCCAGGCTCAGCAGCACTGTTTGTATAAAGAAGTCGTGGTCTGTGCCCAAGACTAAGGCTGCAGTTTTGTAGAAAGGCACCAGGAGGTCACCAGGGCAGGGCCCCACTCTTCTCTTCCTGCCCAGCGGGTGGGTCTGCCTACAAAACTGTGCTTCCTCAGAAGCCAGCCCTGTGCCTTCTCTGAAGCTTTGCTTCTGGCTTCCCCACCTCATTTTCTCCATCACTAATTTTAGCAGGAGGGCTTTTGAAGAAGTATTTAAAAACGAAACAGAGAGAAGTAAACTTTCTGGAAAATTTCTGTGCTGGCTTCAAGCTAAAATAATAACGACAAAAACACAGTTCAGTGCTGCATTCTGACTCAGATCCACACCAGAGAGGCGGGCTCATTTGGTTAAGTGTCTGGCAATTTTTGGCTGACGTCTTCCTCTGTGTGCAAGCAACACAGAAACACTTAGGGAGTGACGGAGGAAGAAAACAGAGAAGCCTGAGGTGAGAAAGCTGAGTTCTGACAGAGTCCCCACAAGCCACTCTGAAAACACCACTCAAAACTGTGCCGGGCCCACGGCCGCCCTGACTCACCGCTGGTTGTTTACTCCGCCATAAGTCAGTCCTGCCAGCCCAGGCTGGCTGCTTGGTGATCCGGTTCAAAAGCTGCAGAGCCAACAAATGAAAGAGGAGTGAACTGTCGCGGGAATGGTGTCCCACAAGGCTGGGTGTCACTTACTAGCTTCATAAATAATGAAGGGTTGGTAAATAATCCATTGCCAAGAAAGGACCCTCCTGTCACTTCGTATTTCCTAGCATTTTACATCCATGGTGCCAGACATAAACTGGATAAGTTGAGGACTTAATTTTGTTTCCATTTATTTATTTAATTACTGTGTGTGTGTGTGTGTGTGTGTGTGTGTGTGTGTGTACATGAGAACGCATACATGTAGAAGCCAGAAGACAACTTGCCAAACTCAGGTCTTCCTTCTACCATTGTAGGTCCTGGGGATTGAACTCAGGTGGTCAGGCTTGCTCAGCAAGTTCCTACCTATACCCTTTGAACCATCTCCCTGGCCCTTACCTGTCTATTGAATGGGAGAATCTATATTTATACAAAGTGTTATATTTGCTTATTTCCCTCCATAAATTTTATTTGTTTATTTATTTCCTTTATTCTGTTATTTTCCTGAGACAAAGTCTCGCAGGGCTGGCCTAAAATTCACTGTGTAGCCCGGGCTAGTTTCAAACATAACAGCAATGCTAATACCTCAGCTCACTGAGTGCTGAGATTACAAATGTGAGCTACCATGACCAGCTTTGTAAGCTTTATATGAAGCATTTTTCCTGTGCATTTGGAAAGATAATTCAAACTAAAATTTGTAAAAATTATCTTTTAGTGTTAAAACATTTTAATATTTGAATCCCTCATACATATATGCCTATATACATGTGCATACACACACACACACACACACACACTCACATGGTGCTGGAGCTCCAATGCAGGGCATTGTACATACAAAGCAAATGCTATAGTACTCAGCCACACCTTCATTGCTACCCTTCTCTTAAACACAACTGTCCCCAGACAGTGTACTAACTACTACGTTAGCAGCAAACAGTAACTCACCCCCTTTTTTGGTAATCCGATCAACAATGCTTCCCCTGAGTGAATATACCACAGTGAGAACTGTACACTACAGACAGAATTATATGTACATACTTTGAAAACATAGTTTAGGGCTGTTAGTCTGTTAGTAGCGAGCTCACCTAGCATGCACCAGACCTCAGGTTTAACTCCTCGGTGACATGTACACACAAGGCTAGTGCAAAATAGACTGTCAAAACAGTATTCCACAAATATTAACTATGTCCCAGTCATGTCTTCTATATGTAGAAACACAATGACAACTTAGGTATTTCTGTTGATGTACTTTATTTTGACTTTGATTAAGTTCTTATGCCCATAAATTCCTTGTGGAACTATGTGGCTTTATGGGTACAATCTCTATTTTTATAAATTTAAAAAAAGAGTTAGTACTTATTTTTCCAGGATAGTCAGGGCTACATAGAAAGACCCTGTCTCTCAAACAACAACAAACAAAAAGTTATGTATTTTATTTTATATGTGTGAGTGTTTTGCCTGCATTTATATCTGTGTACCATGTGCATGCCTTATGCCCACAAGGCTAGAAAAGGGCATCAGCTCCCCTGCAACTGGAGTCACGGACAATTGTGGGACACCAGGCGGGTCCTACAGCGATATCCACTTTTTTGTTGTTGTTGCTGCTTTGTTTTTTAAAAAAACATTCTAGATTTATTTTTCACTTTATGTGTATGAATGCTTTGCCGGCATGTATGTATACGTGCCACACGTGTGCCACATCTGGGTCCACAGAAGTCGAGAAAGGGCATTGGAGCTCGTAAAATTGGAGTCAGAGATATTTGTAAGCTGCCTGGGTACTGGAAATTGAAACAGGGGGCTCTGAAGCAGCAGCCAGTGCTTTTAACCACTGAGCCATCTCTTCAGCCCTCTATCTTGTGTTGAGAGATAGAATCTCTCACTAAACTGTGGCTCACCAATTTGACTAGACTGGCTGCCCAGTAAGTCCCAGGATCTTGTTTCTACCTCCCCAGCACTGATTACAAGCACTTACCAACATGCCTGGCAATTCTCTCTGTCTCTGTCTCTGTCTCTGTCTCTGTCTCTGTCTCTGTCTCTATCTCTGTCTGTCTCTATTGGTCCTGGGGATTGAACTCAGGTCTTCATGCTTATGAGGCAGGCACTTTACCAAATAAGTCACCTCCCTAGCTCGAAGAGATCTGTCTCCAGCATTTTTTTCCTCATGTATTCAGTTTCCCTTGTCCTCTGGCCTTTTTTTTACCCCCCGTTTTTTTCAAGACAGGGTTTCTCTGTGTAGTTTTGGTGCCTGGATCTTGCTCTGTAAACCAGGCTGGCCTCAAACTCACAGAGATCTACCTGGCTCTGCCTCCTGAGTGCTGGGATTAAAGGTGTGCGCCTCCACCATCTGGCTCATCCTCTGGCCTCTTTTTGGGTACAGTTCCCTAAAGGTCTCAGTTCTTTCTCATGTCCTCTGCCTTTTCTGCCTTTTATTCTTTCTTTCCTTCATCCATTCCTCCCCCCACATGGTCACATCCAGGTAATGATTCCCTGAACAGGACCAAAATCCCGAGCAATCTGTCTCAATCTTTCAAAGGAAGACAACTCAGAGGCCTAAAGAATGTGGACACACTTGGCTACTTTTGCTGTGTTTTTTCAATCCCAATTATATCATCCTTTAGTTTCCTGCCATGTTCCAAGAATATCACATTATAAATTGTGTGTGTGTGCTCACCTCAGAACATGTATGAAGGTCAAAGGTCAACTTGTAGAGTTACTTGTGTCCACCATGTGAGTCCTGATGATCAAACCTAAGTTGTCAGACTTGGCAGAAATCTCCTTCATCCACTGAGCCATCTCACTGTCCCCCATCATATGTGTGTGTGCGCGCTGTGGAACAATCTTTTTGTACACTATCAATATGTATTGCTTTCATTGGCTAATAAAGAGCTCACTGGCCTATAGCTGGGCAGGAAGAGGTTAGGTGGGAAAACCAAACTAAGAGGATGCTGGGATGAAGAAGGGCAGAGTCAGAGGAGTCTGGAGTCGCCAGCCAGACACAGAGGAAGCAGGAGATGAATGTGCCATGTTAATAAAGGTACCACATGGCAGATTGTAAATAAGGAATATGGGCTAACTTAAAATGTAAGAGCTAGTTAGAAATAAGCCTGAGAGCTGGGCAGTGGTGGCGCACACCTTTAATCCCAGCACTCAGGAGGCAGAGGCAGGTGGATCTCTGTGAGTTCAAGGCCAGCCTGGGCTACAGAGTGAGTTCCAGGAAAGGTGCAAAGCTACACAGAGAAACCTTGTCTCGGAAAAAAAAAAAAAAAGGAAAGAAAGAAAGAAAGAAAGAAAAGAAAAAGAAAGAAATAAGCCTGAGCTATTGGCCTAGCATTTGTAATTACTATTAAGCCTCTGAGTGATTGAGAGTGGCTGTGGGACAGGAAAACTCCACCTACATGTGTGTTTGTCGGCAGCATATGTGAGTGTACATGTTTGCAGGTGTGCTTGCACATGTGTATACAGTTATATTCCTCTATTGCTCCCTACCTTATTTTTTTGAGACAAAGCTTTTCACAGAATATGGACTCATTGATTCATCGAGACTAGCTGGCCAGTGAGCCCCAGGCTCCATCCTGTCTCTTTCTTCCCAGAACTAGGACGATGGGCATACACCACCACTCCTGGCTTTTTACACAGTTGCCGTCTCCTCAACCCTCAACTCCTCGTTTACTTTTTTATTTTATTTTTTTTTTTTTTTGAGACTAGCTCTCAGTGACTTGCTCAGTCTGGCCTTGAACTTGCTGGTAGCCCGTGCATAACCTGAACTTACCAATCAGCATCCTACACCTATAGGAGTATAGATAGGTGCCACTATGTCTGGCTCCCTGAGCCAGATATGTTATTATATTACCTGTGACCCAGCACACAAAGACAACCTATGCCAAATGTAAAAATATCCCCTAAAGACAGAAACATTGTTTCATTCTTAGAGACAATCACCTGCATATATATGAATGTCCCAGTTACTCCAGTTTTGGAAACACTTAAAGAGAAATGAATCTAGCAAATCATGTATGCACAGCCAGGCAGTGGTGGCGCATGCCTTTAATCCCAGCACTCAGGAGGCAGAGCCAGGTAGATCTCTGAGAGTTCGAGGCCAGCCTGGTCTACAGAGCGAGTTCCAGGACAGCAAGAGCAGTTACACGGAGACACCCTGTCTTGAACCTCCCCCCCACGCCCCCCCCAAAATCATGTATGTACCCAGAGTAGCTAAATTACAAGGTAAGGCTGTTTTTCGATTACTTGTGTTAATTTGCTCGAGTTTGTGTTGGTCCTCCTCTCAGCTGAGTCCACCGGTCTCCGGGAACTCTCTAGCTAGGTAGGGTACACCAGACCAGCGGTGTCTCTTCCCCCAAACTCTGTTTGACTCCAAAGGAGGTTGGGAATTCTATGCTGCTTCGAAACCCACAGGAGTCCATCCAGACTGATACTGGATACACTAACTGAAAACCATTCACAAGCCATGGCTGGGAAGACTCACCCCTGGGGATGGTTGTTGATATTGACAGAGATCAGGTGTGTTTATTGACTTAGCAGCTCAGGTGGTGTTATTGTGACATCAGAATACTTCACATTAACCAAAGCCAAGGGCAGAGAGAGGAGTGGGGGGAGAGATGCTGAGTGGGAGGTGGAGATGGACATGTAGGCTAATGTCTTCCTATATTTGAAGAACTATTTGGCTTAAGCTATTGTGAATGTAGCTTTTCATTTCACACAGAGAAAGCACCAGTGTCTCTTGCAAGTGGATTGATCAGGAATGTCATAACTGAGCCGGCTGTCTTCAGAGCACTCTACTGGCATGAATAAAGAAAAGCATTGTCCTAAGCGGAATGGATTTTTTTCTCTGAAAGGTTAGTCCAGAGATGAAGGTACCAAAGAAATCACAGACCTGACAAGTGAAAAGGACTGATGAAGTTCTCTGAGGCCAGCACCATGCCTACTTATGAACCTCTTCACCTTCCCTCTAAGCATGCGTGCTCTTTGGACTTTGTTCCATCTGGAAATGGAGATGTTTGGTCCCTCCCCTCCCCTCCCTCCCTCCCCTCCCCTCCCCTTCCTCCCTTCCTCCCTCCCTCTCATTCTCTCTCTCTCTTTCTCTCTCTCACTCTCTCTCTAAATGCCAGAGTACAACCTTGGGTGTTGTTCCTCCACATTGATCTATCTTGTTCTTTGAGATAAGATCTTTAACTGGCCTGAAACTCACTATTTTTATTTATTTATTTATTTATTTATTTATTTATTTATTTATTTATTTATTTATTTATTTATTTATTTATAGTGTGGATTTTGGGAATCAAACTCTGGCTTTCATCCCAATGCAGAAAGCTCTTTAGTCCTTGTTCTGGGGCTGGAGGCTCAGAGGTTAAGAGCACAGGCTGTTATTTCCAGAGGACCCAGGTTTGGTTCCCAGCACCCACATGGCAGCTCACAATTGTCTGTACTTCCAGTTCCAGGGGATCTGATGCCCTATGTTGGCTTCTGCAGGTACCAGGCATGAAGGTGGTACAGAGATACGCATGCAGGCAAAACATCCATTCTCATTAAAAAAAAAATCCCTGTCCTTTGTGAGTGTGTTATCCTATTGGGAATCATTGTTTGCTGTTTCTCATTTACTAATTCATTTATTGAATTTATATTTAGTCACTATTGTGTCTTATCATAGGAAATTAAGATCCAGAGGACTCAGGTTATGTCCTCAAAGTCAAAATTTGATGACTTGATCAATGGACATTATTTGACTAAAATTCTAGTATTTTTAATTTTTTAAAAATAAAAAAATAATGTTGTGTGTTTGTGCCTTTTTGCATGCAAAGGTCAGAAAAGGACTTTGGATGCCCTGGAACTGCTGTTACAGATGGTTTTAAGTTGTCATGTGAGTGCTGGGAACCAAACCTGGGTCCTCTGGAAGAGCACCAAGTACTCTTCACCTTTGAGCCATCTCTCCAACCCCTAGAATGTGTTTTTATTTTGTTTGCTTTGAGTAGTTTCTAGAACTCTTATTATTTGGGACTAGAAAAATGGCTCAACATAAGAGTGTTGCTCTGCCAGAACCTGTAAACAACCCAGATGCCCATCAACTGAAGAATGGATTAAGAAAATGTGGTACATATACACAATGGAGTACTACTCAGAGAAAAACAAATGATACCATGAAGTTTGCAGACAAATGGATGGAACTAGAAAATATCATCCTGAGTGAGGTAACCCAAACCCAGAAAGACAAACATGGTATGTACTCACTCATAAGTGGATACTAGATATAAAGCAAAGAACAATCAGACTGCAACCCACAGAACCAGGGAGG